CAGGATCTAGAGCCACCTAGAAAGCAAGCCTCTGGGTATGTCTGGGAGGCTTATGTTCACCTTCGTTAGGTTAAAGAGGTGGAAGACCGGCCCACGGTGGGCGGCACCATCTCCCCTGGGCCAGAGTCCTAGACTGGGCAAAAAGGAGAAAGCCAGCAGAGCGCAAGCTTTCTCTCTCTCTTCTTCCTGACTGTGAATGCAGTAGAACCAGCTGCCCCCAATCTTCGGTGTCGCGACAGAGCCACTGTACACTCCAACTGTGAGCTGAAGAAACTCTTTCTTCTCTAAGTTGTTACCGTCCGGCATTCTGTCACAACATGGGAGGCCACTGGAGTGAAAACGGTGGGGGCACATCTCTCCAGGGTAGGAGCAGAGGATGGAAAGCCGAGTCACTCCGCTCCGCGGTAGTCTTCCGTGTCCTGGCTTGACTCAGAAAGAAGCGTCACTTTCAGCACAGAGAGTCTGCATTTAGAGCATGTGGAAGATGGGAGCTAGTGTGCTCCCACGGCAGGGACCCTGAGCCCAGTGGATTGGGCTGAAACCCAGACTGGAAACGCACAGTGCCTTTCCATCCTCCTGGAGCCGGCTCTCCGTGTGCAGGGGGCCTCTGCCATAGCCACATCTGCCTCCAGGAGGAGGCAGTCATCACCGCTTTCTCCCGCTCTCAGTGTTTGTGTTTCCATTCCTTAGTGAGTTATCGTTAAGTCGAGGAATACTCGGGGGAAATCACTTTAATCTCTTCAGGGGTGTGTTACAAGCCTCTGAAGGTGACTCAAGTGCACGCAGGTAATATTTCACTACTGAATTAGAGGAAGAATGGATGAGCTGCTGAAAAACTCGTTTGCTGTTTAGCATGAACATGCCTCTCTCTGTCTCCAGGGCTGGCCCTCAGCCGCGGATGCCTGGCTGGCAGGCTCAGCCTCCTCCATACTCACTTTCCTGCTCTGCCAGTGGACCAGATTCACCTCCTGGGCTGCCCGGAGTGCTGCTGACTCGGCTGACACCATTGTGCCAGCAATTAGCCCAAGGCGTGGAAGTAAAAATATTTACCGGACCAAAACGATGTAAAGGTTTTAATAACCAGTCTACTATTAGACAGACACAAACAGAGCAGGCCAGTTCTCAGGGACAATCACTCTGCTGAGGGGGAAGGGAACCTTTTGAGGCAGTTCAGAAAAGCCACATGGCTTTGTCATGGGCCATTTGAGTGGGGCGGTATTTGAGTAGCTAAGAGGAGGGCAGCTCACTGTCTCCTTAGGTAGTGAATGCTAAAACCCACTTTGTCCTTCCTGAGATTGGCCCTTTAGGGTGAGGCATCAGGGGCTTTGGGAGTTAGGCTCAGCATTGCTTGTATAAGGCATTTATACAGGTCAGAGTCACTGGGCTCCAAACAGTCGGCGTCTGCTTGTTAGAGACTGGGGGATTATTGTTGTGTGATTTTTTTTTCTATTTTTTTTTTTATTTAATGCCGAATGCTGTTTATTGAAGGAGGGAGGAGGTCTTAAATACAGGCTTATAGCACAATGGGAGAACCCCGGAGGGCAGAAGTTCGCTACCGATGTTTTACAATCTTGCATCTAAGCTGTTAACGCCCATTATGCAGGATACACAGACAAGGAACTTCCCTTAAGCATTCAGGAGGGTGGGACCCAGCAGGGAATTAGCACAGGGAGGATATCAAGGTCAAGGTCAGCAAGCAAGGCAACAGTTACCCAAAACGGGGGCCAGACCAACAGATTCCCCCCTTTACTAAAAAATGAGCTTCTGACTTAGGTTGCGTGGGACGTCAGCAGGTCACCTTACCCGTCATGGAGATGCCTGCCCAGGCCACACAGGCGCTCTGTCTTAGGTTGGTGAGCGCCCCCCAGGCTGTTGTGTGATATTTTGATCGCATTCCGACAATAAAGTTTGCTGACCAAAATTAACCATAGAGGTCTTGGATGGAGGACAGATAGAGACAGGAATTAGTAAGGCAGGGCTGAGAGAGGATCTCAGGCTTCTTGGATGGAGGAACGGAAGAGAGAGGAGGTGACTGGTGACTTCTCTGCTTCTCTGATCATTCCAGTTCTTACCCCCGATACCTGACTACCAATTTTTTATTGATGAAGAATAATTAGATAAATGCTTCAGATTACGACTGTGATTTTTGGCCTTTTATTTTGCCTCTTCATTTGCTGCGCCTTTGCCAAAGGCCCTAGAAAACCTCAGTAGGACAGTGGGTCCTCCCTAGGGTTCTCTTGCTAGTACAGATGTCAGGGAAGCCTGTAAGGGGCAGAGTTGGCATTTTGTGGTGGGGTAAGCAGCAGGAGTAGGTAGCTGGACAGGATGCTCTGAAGTAGGGCAGTCCCCCTCTTCCGTTTCCTGTTCTTGCTTCCAGTCTTGATGGCTTTGTGTTTGCTTGCCTTGTTTTTTTTGTCACATAGTGTCACCTGGTCTCATGCAGACCAGGCTTGGCCATGAACTCACCACACAGCAGAAGATGATCTTGAGCTCCTGATCCTCCTGCCTCCGCCTCGTCAGTGCTTTTAAATTTCCAGGTTCCCTGCTTGTTCCTGCCTTGCTGAAGTGACTCCGACACAGAAAATATTCGTGGAACAAATTTAAACAAAAACACAGCAACAGTGCTCCTACTACAGGTCCTTCCGACAGCTAGGCTCTCGACTGCCTTTAGGATGTTTCCTATTTTCAGTTTTTCCATCTATAAAATGGAAATGTTCTCAGAGTAGGTAATAGGTCCTCCATTAGTCTAAATGGGTCATGCATTCATAGGAAGAATGTACGAAGCTATGATATTTTCAAGTGGAGAAAAAGGGTTTGCTTGTTTGTTAGTTTGTTTTTCGCTTGATTTTTTTTTTTTTTTTTTTTTTTGGTTTTTCGAGACAGGGTTTCTCTGTGTAGCTTTGCGCCTTTCCTGGAACTCACTTGGTAGCCCAGGCTGGCCTCGAACTCACAGAGATCCGCCTGGCTCTGCCTCCCGAGTGCTGGGATTAAAGGCGTGCGCCACCAACGCCCGGCTAGTTTGTTTTTCAGAGAGCTTCATAGATCCCAAGCTGACCCCAAACTCACTATGTAGCCAACGAGACCAAATGATGCTCCTCCTGCCTCCACCTTCCTAGTCTTGGGATTCCAGGTATGCACCACAACACCTAGTTTTCAATGCTTTTTTTTTCCCTTCTTGAGGACCCAGAATTGAGCTGTACAATCCTAGAAACACTTAATAAGCTCTCCTTTCACAGAGCAACAGCAGAGAGTCTCTAGGTCATTAACCTCGCCCCATCAGAGCTACCAGTGACTGAGAACCGGAAATAACACAAGTCTCTTTGTTACTGACCGAGTTGGTCTGTTTGTCAACCCAAAGGACAAGTTGCTGGAACAAGGAGACAGATTTATTTGAAAGCCAACAAAGCAAATGTGGAGACTGTCTTAGTCACTGTTCTGTTGCTGGGGAGTGAGACATCATGACCAAGGCCACTCTTTTTTTGTTTGTTTGTTTTTTTGTTGTTTTTTGAGACAGGCTTTCTCTGTGTGACCCCATGGGTACACCACACACACACAAGTGAATGCGTATAAGTGGAGGTCAGAGGAAAATTTGGAGAAGTCAGTTCTCTCCCTCCACCAGGTGGGTTCCAGGAATTGAACTCAGGTTATCCGGCTTGAGGGCAAATGTCCTTACCAGCCGAGCATTTTAGATTTAAACCGAAGATGGATTCTGGCAAGAAGCAAGGGGTACGCATAATTCAGTAGTCGTGGTCAAGGTGTGGCCCTGCTTCCAAGGTGTGGGAGTGGGGCTGTCACATAAACCTCAGGGACACAGTTAAATCTGAATTCTCTGTTGTCTCTTCCTTTTTGTCCTTCCTCTTGTCTCTCTGTCTGTCTGTCATAAACACACCTACCTGCTCACCAAATAAATAAAATACATTATTTGTTGGGGTCGTTTGTTTGGTTGGCTTGGGGGGTTTTGTTCTTTGTTTTTTTGTTTGCTTGTTCTGTTTTTTTGGCTTTTCGAGACAGGGGTTCTCTGTGTAGCCCTGGCTGTCCTGGAACTTGGAACTGGCCCTGATTTCCATACCATCGTCTCAGTCTGGGTCCTGCAGAAGTGGTCAAAAGAAGGCCTTATCTGAGGGGACAGGTCAGTTCTCAGGAGCTGGTTATTTCTGCCCCAAGGTGCATTCATGGCTAATTGCCCTCCCCTAGGAGGGGAAGGTTCTGGCCTCGGAAGTTTTACTTTTCCTGGAGGCCAGGATGACCACTGGCTTAGGACCATGGGTTATCCCAGTGTCTTCCACCAAAGTCACAGAGACAGAAACACAAAACGCAGGGTGGTGTCCTGCGTGTAGTCATCCTGTGGGCTCAAGTCGGCACTTTTCAACCAGAGCATCTTCGAGGGGGCTGTTTCAAAGCCAACCCAAAGCAATACTGAAGACCATGTCCAGCTTGTTCTCACTGGTGAGTCAGGGTGAGCGGGCCTTTTGCGCATGCTGCAGGACCAAAGGTGAAGTGGGCATTTCAGTGTGGACTTGATCGAACTGCCCAGACTGAAGGGCACAACTCGAGGCTTTGGAGGAAGATGTTTGAAACTGGAGGGTAGAAACATTGGTTTTAATTTGTTGTGGTGCACACCTTCCTCCCAGCACTTGTTGGGGCAGAGGCAGAGTTTAAGTCCAGCCTGGTCAACAGACCAAGTTCCAGACATCCAAGGCAAAACAGAGAAACTCTGTCTCCAAAAACAAAACAAAACAAATAAAAACAAAAACAAACAACCCCAACAAATATACCTATTTTATGTGCACTGAGTGTATGACAGAGACAGATGAAAAGGCAGAGACAATAGAGAATTCAAATTTAACTGTGTTCCCACTTCCATACCGCGACTTTGACCTCACGTGTTTACCTCTGGGCCAGAGAGACACGGGGGAGCCGGCCCCTTCAGTGGGATGGGGTCCCAGGAGCCCAAGCTGAAAGTTGAAAGTGGAGCTGCAGCCCCGAGCCGAGTCTCTGGGTTCACGACCTGGCGAGGGCTGACCCCTGGTGGCCGCACGGCGCCTTGCAGCTGCAGCCTGCTCGACCCAAGCAGAGCTCTGCCGGGAGCAGGTGGTTGTGGGGAAGGAAACTAGGGAGTGAGCCAGGTTCAGAGCCACGTGATGACTTTCTACGCTATCGGCTAGACCACAAGAGACAACCTCATCTCACCCGTCTTAGGTAATGCGAGAGCAGTTAGGAGGAAGGCCTGGGAAAGACAGTGGGTGGATCAGTGGGTCTGGTGTGTTGGATTGGGTTTTTATTTGTTTGGTTTGGGACTGCCGTTTTTGTTTGCCTGCTTGTTTCTTGAGACTAGGATTCTGTGTAGCCATGGAAACCGCCGACTTGAAACTCAGCTGAGGGTGATCTTGAACTACTAATCCTCCTGCCTCTACCTCCCTGTGCTGGGCCTACAGATTTGTGCCTCCAGGCGCTGCAACTTCACGAAGACCTGCGCAAGGATGCGGGGATGAAAGGGAGGTGTGAGCTGATGGGGGTAGACTGAGGGATCCTGTATGCCTGTTATTCAGGCCCTCCTCGGTGTCTCTACAGGACAGCATTTCTCTTTAGGCATGGGAACAGGGCACCTGTCTCATGAGGTTCTTCTGGAGGGGTGGGGGTGACCTTCAGAAGTGACCTTCCTGGGGCTTACGGCTTTGCTGGGGAGGAGTCGGGGAGAAAGAGGGAGACAGTGGGCAGGAGGAAGTCAGATAGCTCCCAGACTCCTTCAGCAGAAACAAAGCCACACGTACCGAGGGACAGTTCAGCTAACAACGGTTTGCACCTGGTCCCACCCGAGGGCTTCCCCTAGTGATGATAGGGCCGTCTTCGCGTGTAAGCCATCTGGTCATATCAGATGGCCCGGCAGTACATTTCTCAGGACGTATTCCTATTGTTAAGTGGTAAGTGACTATACTCAGAAAGGCCAGGCGCTGGAACGTAGCACACTTCATTGTGAGCCCCAGCAGTTGCAAGCATGACCCACCTGAGTCTTGATTTTTTTTTTTTTTGGGTGGGGGGCTTGCTGTTGAGACAGATCTTAACACGAACATGTCTTACCTCCCACCGCAGGCCTGAGGAGACTCACCTGCTGGCTCCTCCTTCACAACTACAGAGGCCAGTCAGTTGGGAGATGGTCTCCCCACCATCCTCTGATCACAGATCCACTAGTTGCTTCCAGAAATCAGGCTACACCCCCACTGCTCAATCGCATAGAAATCTAGTAACCTGTGTGCCATGGACTTGCAGCTGTGAGTAAGCCCAAGACAGCCTTGAATTATAATTTTTACTCTTTTTTTTTTAAGATGTGTTTTTATTTGTGGGTGTGTCTGTGTGTGCCAGAAGAGGAGGGCATCGGATCCTTCGGGGCTGCAGTCACAGGTGGTTGAGAGCTGCCCAGTGAGGGTGCTGAGAACCAAACTCAGGTCCTCTTGAAGGGCAGCGACTGCTCGTATCTGCTGAGCCCTATAACTTAAAAAAAAAATAAAAATAAAAAGCCAGGCTGTGCTTGTGCATGCCTTTGATCCCAGCAGAAGTAGGTGGTGTTAATCCTGAGATTTGCAAAAGAAAAACCAATTCCACAAATTTGAAGCAAGCTTTAATTAAATGCCAACCGGGATGGATTTTGGTCAGGACCACGTCCTGGAATTCCCAGTGAGTGGCCCTGAGACATGTTGTAGGGACTTTTAAGGACAAACCTATGTGACTGCCATATTTCCTATAAAGCTTTGTACAACTTCCAGCATTCTAGGAAGCTAGCTGGTCCTTGGGCAGGTGGGGCTTACAGGTTAGCTTAGGGGCTTACAGTGAATCTCTGAGTTTGAGGCCAGCTTGATCTACAGAGTGAGTTTCAGGACCGACAAAGCTATACAGAGAAACCCTGTCTTGAAAAACCTAATAAATAAATAAATGCTTTATTATTTTCTGAGAATGGGTGCTTTGCCTGCATGTGTATCCATGCACCATGGATGTGCCTGGTGCCTGAGGCGGCCAGAAGACACTGGAGCCCCTGCATTTACAGATGGTTGTGAGCCGCCACCATGTGGATGCTGGGAATTGAACCCAGGTCTTCTAGAGGAGCAGCCAGTGCCGTAACCACTGAGCCATCTCTCAGCTCCAGCTTCACTCTTACACTGTGCCTTTCTCTGAGAGTTCTGGCACATAGGCCAGGTTACATGCTATGGGACACACTGCTCCACTCCAAAACCTATGAGACAGAAAAATTCCCTTTGTGTTGTGAAACTGTCTTTCCCCCTTCAAGACATCGGCGGCACTGTCTGTGAAGGCCAGCTCTCCTAGTGAAGCCGTTTGGGGGCCTGAAGCCTTGCTTCGCCACTTCAGGCTGTGACGCTGGTGAGGATCTGTGCTTCCTAGTTTTATGTCAACTTGACACAAGCTATAGTCATCTGAGAGAAAGGAACCTCAAACGAGAAAATGCCTCCATAAAATGGGGCTGTAGGCAGGCCTGTAGGGCATTCTCTTAATTAGTGATTGATGTGGGAGGGCCTAGCCTGCTGTGGGTGGGGCACTCCGGGGCTTGTGGCCCTGGGTTCTATAAGAAAGCAGGCTGAGCAAGCCATGAGGAGCAAGCCAGTAAGCAGCACTCCTCCATGGTCTCTGCATCGGGTCCTATGTCCAGGTTCCTGCCCTGTGTGAGTTCCTGCCCTGACCGTTGATGATGATGAACAGTGATATGGAGGTGTAAACGAAATAAATCCTGTCCTCTCCAGGCTGGTTTTGGTCAGGGCGTTTTTTCACAGCCATCGTCGTCCTCACTAAGACGGGGACCCAGGCTGCTAAGTGCTTTGTTGGTGCAGGGATGGGCCTCTAAGTTGTTATCAGAGTGTCTGTCTGCCTCAGATACACAGGGCAAGAAAATAATGTAGGCAGCGGCTGTAGGATTCACCCTAGACCTAGAGCCTCCGTTCTCGAGTGATCCCATCAATTCCACACTTCCTGCCTAGGCAGAGAAAGCCGCACAGCTGACACCCTCAGGAAACACTTCAGATGGAATGCGAGGAAAGGGAAATCCCTAAGGTGCAAAGAAATCACCCACGTCACCTGCTCTACTGTCTACAGCCCCATCAGTATTCAACCAACAAATGAATATTAAATCACAGAGGTTGCCCCTGGGGAGGCGGATCAATCATGCCTTACATCCTGTCTATAGTGTCCCTAAACGGCTAAAACTCCTAGCATGTAACAGCAGGTTGGGCGGGACGATGGCACCAGCTTCCCACACTACTGTCTCATCCTGTCTGTCTTCAGTCATCTGCTAAATTCAGAAATCCTTCCCCGCTAAGCTCAGAAACCTCTACGCTCTAAAGTCTGTGATTATAATAAATTTCCTCTGTTCTGTGGGTTACTATTGGGTCGCCCAGTCTCCCCAAGGTATGAGTACCAGGCATTATTGAAGAGCCTGATCACCTGAAATCCATCTCACCACATTTCTCTACTGAACTTGGAAAGAATCTTTAATATCGGAAACATCAAGGACTGTATCACAGTTTTCCATTCTGATAGTGATGTTGTCTGATAAATCACACATGGTGCTTTGGTTTGCATGTACACCCTTCAAATCCACTGGCTGGAAACTTCATCCCCCAAACACCAGTGTTACGGAATGGGCTTTGGGGGAAGGTAATGGACCCTAAGGGTTCTGCCCTCATGAGTAGATGGATGAAAAAAGAACTTGACAAACCGAGTCTGTGGTGGGAGTATCACTTGAGCCCACAAGTTCATGACCGGGTGGGAAACGTAACAGAAACTCCATCTTAAAAGTGGAGACAGCAGAGAGTCTGTGGGTTTTGCTCCTCTGCTTTCTGCTATGTGATTTTTACACACTTTCTCTCTCTGTCATCTGGGTAAATGCAGTAAGAAGAACCACACCACAACCTAAATGTTATCCTCCACAAACCACCCAGTCCATCGCCTTCTAATTCAGCCGACTGGCTTCTCAGAATACAAAGGAAACCCTGCAGGATTCTTCTCCAGAATATAACATGAACAGCCTCTAATCCAGTCCCTGGTAGCGTCCTTGTTCCCTTCTGAAACTCCAGGAGCCTGGCTTTCACCCTCCTCATCACGATCAGCTCTCTAGTCCTCTGTGGTCCTTCCAGAACGATCCATTCAGCTCTTCTTACAGCACTACAGGGACTCTCTGGTTCACAGATCCAAACTCTTAAAAGCCTCCTGCAAACCATTTCCAGAAGTTCACAATCCACATGGTCAGCCAGACTTGATGGTACAGGCTGTTAATCCCAGCACTCAAGAGGCAGAGGCAGGCAGATCTCTGTGAGTTCAAGGCCAGCTTAGTCTACATAGTGAGTTCCAGGGCAGCCAGGGCTACATAGAGAGACCCTATCTGAAAAAAATAAAATAAAATAACAAAAACCCCACATGGTCAGGTAGTTATTGAACGACCTCATTCTCTGATATCAAATACCTGACAAGAAGCCATATCAGGAGGAGAGGGTTTTTTTTGTTTTGTTTTGTGTGGTGGTATTGTGTTCCCCAAAATATTGTGCACCCTAATAAACTTATCTGGGGTCAGAGGCAGAACAGCCACTAGATACAAAGGATAGAAAATGGTGGCACTCACACCTTTAATCCTAGCATTCCAGAGGTAGAAATCCCTCTGGATCTGTGAGTTCAAGGCCACACTGGAAACAGCCACGCATGGTGACACAGGCCTTTAATCCCAAGAAGTGAGCCTTTAATCCCAGGGAGTGATGGTAGAAAGCAGAAAGGTATATAAGGCATGAGAACCAGAAACTAGAAGCATTTGGCTGGTAAAGCATTTGGCTGGTTAAGCTTTTAGGTTTTGAGCAGCACAGTTCAGCTGAGAGCCATTGGGATGAGGACACAGAAGCTTCTAGTCTGAGGAAACAAGATCAGCTGAGAAGTTGGCCAGGTGAGGTTAGCTGTGGCTTGTTCTGTCTCTCTGATCTCCCAGCTTCACCCCAATAACTGGCCTCAGGTTTGATCTTATTAATAAGACCATTTAAGATTCCCGCTACAGTTTTGTTTTTTTTAAGTTGTATTTATTTATTACATATACAGTGTTCTGTCTGCATGTGTCCCTGCAGGCCAGAAGAGGGCACCAGATCTCATTACAGAGGGTTGTGAGCCACCATGTGGTTGCTGGGAATTGAACTCAGGACCTCTGGAAGAACAGCCAGTGTTCTTAAGCCCTGAGCCATCTCTCCAGCCCCGGAGAGGTTAGTTTGAGGTCATGGTATTGAGGGAATACGGTCCATCATGGTGGGCAAGGGTGCTGGTTAGCGGTTGTTGACTTGATGCCAGCTTAGCTGTAACTAGGAAAAGAGGGAGGCTCAACTGAAGGATTGCCTTCGTCATATTGGCCTGTGAGCATGTCTGTAGGGCATTTCTCTGATTACTAATTGATGGAGGAGGGCCGAGTCCACTGTGGGCGGCACCATCCCTAGCCAGGTGGTCCTGAATTACATAAGGAGGTGGCTGAGCAAGCCAGCAGAAACGAGAGAGTAAGCAGTGTTTCCTCGTGGGCTGCACCTCAGTCCCTGCCCTGACTTCCCTCAGTGATGAGCTATAACCACAAGTCAAATAAACCCTCTCTCCCCGCCCCCCAAGTTGCTTTTGTTTGATGTTCTATCACAGCAACACAAAGCCAAGCTAGAAAAGGAAGGCGTGACGGTAGATGGCTCCTTAGTGGCAGGAATATGAGGCAGCTACTTGCTCATGTCCAGGTAAACTAGGGAGCAGGAAGGGGACAGGAAGTGGGGACAGGATATAGACCTCAAGGCCTGCCCCCAGGCACTCTTCTGTGGCTAGGCTCCACCTTCAAGAGACTCCACAACGTCTCAGAACAGCATCAGCAGCTGGTGACCTGGGCTCACACTCCTGCAGCTGGTGACCCCGGCTCATACACCCCAGGCTAGTGCTCTTACCACATCTCTCATGTCGCTCTAAAAAACGCCTGTTCTCCAGTGACTTGCCTCCCCTCCCCCAACCTTCCAAACCTTTCAAGCAGCTGGGACCTCAGGTACATGATACGGTGCTGGCAAGCGGCTGGCCTCCATGGCTAAATCACATGGTTTGTAGTTTACTTCTTAGGAGTAGGTACTTCCTAAAGCAAACTGTTGAGTTATTTTTACTTAGTATGAACCTGGAACCATGAGACAGGAAAAGTGTTTTTATTTCATTTCTGATCATTAGCAATTAACTGAGGGCCCTTGAGTAAATGCCTTGCCTTTCCCAAATAAATATTAAATGGTACTTTTGTGCTGGACAGTTCTGAGCACCTTATGAGGGAGCCATTCACTGAGCTGTGTCGGCAATCCTGTGGGATAAGTAGTATTATCTGCCCAATGGTGGCCTTTGGTGAGGAGGACTGTGCTGGCAACCCAGGCCTCATGCTTGCTAAGCGCATGCTCTGCAACTGAGCTGCACCCTAATCCTTAGAGATGCCTCTTTCAAGCACAGAAAGGTTTAGTCATCTGCACAAGGTCACACAGCCAGCCTATGAGCCAGGGTTATCTAGGGGAACAGAACCCATCGCATGCATAGATGCTCTAAAGGGATTTATTAGATTGGTTTACATGATCGGGGCTGGGTGGTTGTTGGTCATTTTTTACTCTTAAGCTTTTCACTCTTTGCTCTTTGGGGGGCCTGCCACCCAGCTCCCAAATAAATCACACGGAGACTTATTACTACTTATAAATTATTGCTTAGCTTGGCTTATTTCTAACCAGCTTTTCTTAAATTATCTCGACTACTTTTTGCCTGTGGGCTTTTTCCTTTTCTTACTTCTGTATATCTTACTTTCACTCTTACTCTGTGGCTGACTGGCTGGCTGGCTGGCCCCTGGCGCGCTCCTTCTTCAGATTTCTCCTTCTGTTTATTCTCCGTCTACCAGTCCCACCTGTCCTTTCTCCTGCCTGGCTATTGGCCATTCAGCTCTTTATTAGACCATCAGGCGTTTGAGACAGACACAGTAACACAGCTTCACAGAGTTAAACAAATGCAGCATAAAAGAATGCAACACATTTTCGCATCATTAAACAAACGTTCCGGAGCATAAAAATGATGTGACACACCTTAAAATAATATTCTACAACACTGGGTAATTGTCTCTCTGCAGGCTGGAGAGGCAGAGAACCACACAGCTGAATGCCTCGGTGGTCCCAAATGGTGCTGAAGGCCTGGAAGGTCCTTAGGACATTGCTGACATTCAGCTGCAATGGAGGGCGGAGACCCCGGGACCTAATGTCGAAAGAAGATGGCGGCAGCCATAGACCTGTCACTCAGGAAGAAGCAAAGGCAGCAGGCCACTCTGCTCCAACCTCTCTGAATCTGGGCTGCCAGCTGGAAGGAGCCGCCCACTTGGGGGGGCAGGTCATCTTCTCTCAGTTCATCCTTGCTACAAGCCGCAAAAATATACAGAGTAGGAGTTTAGCTGATTATGACGAAGCTAATACCTGAAAGAAGCCAAGGGCCTTCCAGAGGTCACGCTGAGGCTCACGGAGCCTTGGTGATATTTGGTTTTTGATTATGAGCTGTTTTCTGCTATGGGTTTCTCGTGTGCTCTTGTAGCTTTACCATCATTTTTTGGACACCATTTCCCCTCTACTAAAGGAATATTTAGATAACCTTGTGCGCTGACACTGTGCATAGCCAGAACCCCACCAATTCAAGCCTCCCTGTAATTATCATCATTGGCAGCATCCGGCCAGGTCCATCCGGAGGAAAGTACCTTATCAGAGATACCTCTGTAGCCTCTAGAACAGACTTAAGCATTCAGACTACCTGTTTGAGAAGGCCTGGCAGATGTGCCAATTAAGCTTAACTTCCTCCTTTCCCAAATCTTTCCTCTAGTTCCAGATCTCCCTTTAACTATCACCAGAGGCATCTAGCTGTACACAGGTTGCCTAGCGACCGAGCACCCTTCCCCCCACCCTGCAGAAAAACAGCAGATAGCTTGGACAGATAGGAGCCACAGGAAAAAAGAAGGCACTTGTATTTTCTCCCAGTGACCTAGCAACTTACAGATTCTTAACATTTTCTACCAATCACGTTTAAGATAATAGTTGAGCACATAAGAACCCTCTTCTTAGATATTACCTGAATTTAGCCTTTAGTTAATTCATTAGTCACTTCCCTTTTGGGTTGCAAATGATTATTAACAATTACTGCCCCTCTATGTGAATCTTATCACCCCTCCGTTTGACCCTGGAAGCCTGGCTTTGCACTGCCAAGGGATGACTGCTTGTAAGTGTATATAAACCGGGACTCCCAGGGTACGGAAGGATGAAGAGGAAGATTTAGAAGAATAAATGACTCGACTAAGAGCTCAGTGTGCTGAGATTCTATTTCCCAAAAATAGTCCTCGCCGTTAGTAGTTCTCTCTCCTGAGCCCCTGGGATGTATAATATTAAGGCTGGTCCCCCTAATACCATGCAAGACATCCTTTCTGACCATGCCCTCACAGGCATGCCCTGAGGTGATTCTCAATTCCACAGAGCTGACAGGTGAGCACAATCATCAGAGCTGGTGAGGGGTAAAGCTGGTCTCCAAAGGTCCAACTTTTTTTTCTTCTCTTCATGGTATCAAGGATCAACCCCAGGGCCTTACACACTCTAGACAAATGCTCTACCACTGAGCTAAGAACCAAATTCTCAATCCCTCCCTGGGTTGATGAATTTCAGTTTCTCTGTCTGTAACAGTTGGTCCAGACATTTAGAGCTGTAGGAGGATGAGAATGGAGCTGACTGGTAGAGCATGTGCCTAGCATGCATAAGGCCCTGGGTCAATCCCCAGCACCATACACACACAGTTGTGTTTTGTTTTGTTTTAATGGTGATGAGGCTGTATCTCAGTGGTAGAATGCTTGGCTAGCATTCACGAGTTCTGAGTTGCATCTCCATCACTGCCAGAAACAACCACCACAAGCTTTTGGAGAGGGAAAATCTTTTCTTCTGCCTTCTTCGTTCATGTTCTGGGAGCCTACAAATTAACTTGGCAAAACCAAGACCACAGTAGTTTGGATGAGGACAACCCCCGTAGACTAATCTATTTCAATACCTGATGCCCCAGTTGATGGAACTGTTTGGGAAGGATTAGGAGGTGTGGTCTTGTTGGAGGAGGCATACCACTAGGGGTGGGCCCTGAGGTTTCAAAAGCCACACCATTTCTAGTTAGCTCTCTTTCTCTCTCTGCCTAGCGCACGTGGATCAGGACATAAGCTCTCAGCTAACTGCTCCAGGAAACAGGCTGCCTGCCTGCTCCCGTGCTCCCAGCTGTAATGGCCATGCTCTCTCTCTCTCTCTCTCTCTCTCTCTCTCTCTCTCTCTCTCTCTTGCTCTCTCTCTCTCTCTTTGGTTTTTGGAGACAGGGTTTCTCTGTGTAGTTTTGGTGCCTGTCTTGTATCTGGCTCTGTAGACCAGGCTGGCCTTGAACTCACAGAGATCTGCCTGGCTCTGCCTCCCAAGTGCTGGGATTAAAGGTTTGTGCCACCACCGCCCTCTGGACTCTTAACACTCTGAAACTATAGTCCCAATAAACTCTTTCTTGTATCAATTGCTTTGATCATGGTGTTTGAACAGCAATAGAAAAATAACTAAGACAAAGATAGACTACCAAATTGTTTTACTCATGTAGTTATATATGTGGATATATTGGTCGGGGTCTCTAGAGCAATGATTCTCAAACTGTGGGTCACAACCCCTTTGGCGGGGGCGTTGAATGACCCTTTCATAGAGGTTGCCTAAGACCATCAAAAAACACAGACATTTACATTACAATTCATAACAGTAGCAAAATTATAGTTATGAACTAACAATGAAAATAATTTTTAATTTTAAGGTTGGGGGTCAACTACAACAAGAGGAACTCTATTAAAGGGTTGAGAACCTTCTAGGCATTAGGAAGGTTGAGAACCACTGCTCCAGAGGAGCAGAACTGAAGGAATGAATCTATATAGAGAGAAAGGGGTTTATTAGAATGGTTACAGGCAGTGGTCCAGCTGATCAAACAGTACCAATGGAGGGTCCAAGAATCCAGTAGTTGTTCAGTCCAAGAGGCTGGATGTCTCAGCTGGTCTTCAATGTACACTGGAACCCCAAAGAAGTAGGCTCTAAGCCGGGCAGTGGTGGCTCACACCTTTAATCCCAGCACTTGGGAGGCAGAGTCAGGCGGATCTCCGTGAGTTCAAGGCCAGCCTGGTCTACAGAGCGAGATCTAGGCCAGGCACCAAAACTACACAGAGAAACCCTGTCTCAAAAAACAAGAAGAAGAAGAAGAAGAAGAAGAAGAAGAAGAAGAAGAAGAAGAAGAAGAAGAAGAAGAAGAAGAAGAAGGCTCTAATGCTAGTGAAGGAACGGACTCCATAGCAAGAGCAAACAGGCCCAGAGAAACAACTTCCTTCTTCTATGTCCTTTATACAGGCTGCCAGCAGAGGTGTGGTCCAGATTAGAAGTGGATTTTCCTACTTCAAATGATTTAATTAAGAAAAGAAAACGTCCCCCACAGATGTGCCCAACCACCTGAGTTTTAGTTAATTTCAGATGTAGTCATGTTGACAACCAAGAATAGCCATCACAGTGGATGAGCTCAGCTTGTACTCCAATGTGATGGAATCCACTGGAAAGGTCTAATGCAGAGGCATAGCCCGACTGGGTGTTTTTGATTTGTTTTGTTGAGACAGGGTGGCTTCAAACTTGTAATTCCCTTGCTTCAGTTTCCTAACTGACAAGAGGTCTGTGGATATCAAAGTGTCCCTGAACCAGGTCTGGACACTCACCCCACAGGAACCGGCATCTGGAGGCTCACCCCACAGGACTCGACATCTGGAAGATCCATGTTGGAGATGTAGAAGGGTCAAAGAATGGAGAAGCGAGACCTTTGCTCACACATCAGATTCTAACTCTAGGGGGTTGAGGGTCACAGAGCCAGGACAGGAATAAAAAGGGAGAAAGGTCAGAAAAGAGGACTGTTCACATCCTTTCAGAGAATAGGCAGAGCTTTTTTTTAAAAAAAAATTAAAGATTTGTTTATTTATTTATTATGTATACAATATTCCTCCTGCATGTTGCCTACAGGCCAGAAAAGGGTGCCAGATCTCATTATCAATGGTTGTGAGCCACCATGTGGTTGCTGGGAATTGAACTCAGGACCTCTGGAAGAGCAGTCAGTGCTCTTAACCTCTGAGCCACTTCATCAGCCCCAGGCAGTGCTTTTCCAGCACAGTACTGGGTCTCCATTCTTTTCCTGGCATTCCTGGTCACCATGGCCAGTAGGCGCCTTTAGATTTTAAGAGGAGAAAGACTAGTTAACAAGAACAGTTAGCCAGAAGCAGAACTACAGAAGCCAAAAGGCGAAGTTAGTGGACTTTCCCAGAACTATGGGCTTTGATGGATTCGGTCTTCGTTTTCACTTTGGCAGGTGGTGCTGTCTACATCCTGAGTTTTATAGCCTGGATGGTACTGCCATCATGGAGTCAGTCGTGCTAACCTCTGGAGGCCTACTAAGGTCTGGGGGCCTGTCATATGAGTTTGAGGCCAAGATTACATAGTGTGTCCCAGACTAGTCTGGATTCAGGAAAGGAAGATAGACCCTGTCTTAAAAGACACACATTAGAAGAAGAGGAGGAAAAGATATGAGAAGATGGAAAGATCTCCCATGCTCACAGATCAGGAGTATTAATATAGTAAAAAAGACCATCCTACCAAAAGCAATCTACAGATTCAATGCATTCCCCATCACAATTTTTCACAGACCTTGAAAGGACCATTTTCAACTTCATATAGGAACACAAAACAACAACAACAAACTAGGTTAGCTAAAATAATCCTGAATAATAAAAGAACCGTGAGAGGCATTACCATCCCCAGTTTCAAAGTTGTACTACAAAGCTATAGTAATAAAAGCAGCATGGTATTGGCACAAACACACACACACACACACACACACACACACACACACACACACACACACACCAATCAATGGAATTTAATTGAAGACCCAGGCATAAATTCACACACCTATGGACACCCGATTTTTGATTAAGAAGCCATGGGGCTGGAGAAATGGCCCAGTGGTTAAGGGCACTGGCTGCTCTCCCAGAGGTCCTGAGTTCAATTCCCAGCAACCACATGGTGGCTCACAATCATCTGTAATATCTGGTGCCCCCTTCTGGCCTGGAGACAGAACACGTAATAAATAAACCTTAAAAAAAAGAAAAAAAAAGAAGTCAGAAATATACACTGAAAAAAAGACAGCATCCTTCAACAAATTGTGCTGGATGCACGTAAAAGAATCCAAATAGATTCATACGTAACACCCTGCACAAAATACTCCAAATGGATCAACATGAAACCAGATACACTGGACCGGATAGAAGAGAAAGTGGGGAAGAGCCTTGAACTCATTGGCACAGGAAAACTTCCTGAACAGAACACCAATAGCACAGTCACTAAGATCAACAATTAATAAACGGGGCCTCGTGAAACTGAAAAGCATCTGTAAGGCAAAGGACACTGTCATTCAGACAAAGCAGTAGCCCATGGAATGGGATAAGATTTTTACCAACTCCCCATCTGACAGAGGGCTAATATCCAAAATATATAAAGAACTCTAGAGATTATAGTTATCAAGAAAACAAATAACCCAACTAAAAAATTATCTAAACACAGAACTCTCAAAATAGGGTACTGAGAAACGCTTAAAGAAATGTTCAACATCCCTAGCCATCAGAGAAACACAAATCAAAACTGCTCTAAGATTCCTTCTCACACTCGTCAGACTGTCAGATGGATCTGGGCATCACTGGATTGAAGAAGTCTCCTTTCTCTGCCCCTAAGTGGTATTTGTCTCTAACTGGGATGTTAGGAGCTGTGGGTCAGATCCAGTTTGCTGGGGCTGCCAGTGGTTCCAAGCCAGGTGGTGGGCACACACCTTGAATCCCAGCGTTTAGGAGGCAGAGACAGGCAGACCTCTGAGTTCGAGGCCAGCCTGGTCTACAGAGAGAGTTCCAGGACAGCCAGGGCTACACAGAGAAACCCTGTCTCGAAAAACAAAGCAAAACAAAAGTTCCAACTCATACCTGTTATTATTGTTTAATTTATTATTAAATTAAAATAGTATTTAATTATCATATGACACAAAAACAAATAAGAAACAACTAGTACTTAATGAGTCTGTAGGAAACTGGCAAATGGGATTTTTATTGAATTAATTGACCTTTTTTAGTTTTGGGGATAGTCTCATGGCCTAGACTAGCTGAACTTGAACGCCCTGTTTTCCTGCCCCTGCCTCCCAAGCCCTGGGATTCTAGAACTGTTCCACCACTCAGTTTTGCATATTCTTTCTTTTCTCTCTTTTTTCCCCCTCACATAATATATCCTGGTTAAGGTGTCCCCTCCCTCTGTTCATCTCAGTTCCTCCCCACCTGCCTCCGCTCCGGATCCAGTTCCTTTCTGTCTCTCATTAGAAAACAAACAGGCTTCTAAGGGACAGGACCCACTTGTTCTCACACTCACAAATCTCATAAAAACACTAAACCGCAAGGCGGTGGTGGCGCACGCCTTTAATCCCAGCACTCGGGAGGCAG